AGGAGGGCTGAAAGTCAGTTCTCAACTTCGACGTCCCATTAAGTTAGCAGTGTACTTTATAGCGCTGCGAAATGCAGCCTTTGTTTGCTTTCTCAGGCGAACTTTACGAGAGAATTTTAAATTACTCCCGTGTTTTTAAACCACCCATCTTCCCCCCTCCCCCCAACAGGACCCGGTCTGGCTTTCGTCGTCTACCCGGAGGCAATTGCCCAAATGCCCTTCCCCGTCTTCTGGTCCATCTGTTTCTTCCTCATGCTCACCACCCTCGGTCTGGGATCCCAGTTCGCCATCGTGGAGACGGTGATGTCCGGCTTGGAGGACGAATTGCGACGCGTCGGCCGACTCACTACTCGCTGGTCGAAGATGACCTTCCGGTATATATGATTAATGCTAACCACCCCCCACCCCCCGTCTACTAGCCCCACTTCACCCACTTCTGTCGGTCTGCTTAGACGAGATCAGCTTTTGACCTGTCCCTAAATAAATGCCGGCAAATGTAGCTTACGTAGCCTGACTCATATACCCCTAGTCCCAGCATTTTGTCCTTCAAAAACGGTGATTATAGAGTTTCGGGGGTGGGGAGGTAGGATAGGTAGAGAAGGAAATTTTTAGAAGTAAGTTTAAAGGGAAAAAATGTAGTCGAATTTGCTTTCTGCGGCTGCTGGGAGTAAGGTGTTCCGCATATAAATTGAAGGTGTGCGCGGCGCTTCGCGCCGCGGACTATACTAATCTAACTCCAGAACGGAAATTTGAACCTCAGGTAAGTTGAAGTAGACAACCATCTTGCCCCCATTTCTACTTTTGGGGAATTTCAAGAAACCTGCAGTTTGATAATCGGGTTTCTCCGCAATAAGTTTAGCGATAATACAGATTTTAAAAATCTACAGATATAAATCAGCAACACTTCTAAGTACAGTACAATAAAAATGAATTATGCATTTATTAAGGATATTCTACCGCGTGTCCTAATTCCCCACCCATAAAACCCTATAATTACCGTTTTCGTAGTAAAAAATGCAGGGAATAGGGATTAATAAGTGGGGCTACATAAGCTACTGTTGCCTAAATGCCTACTTACCAGAGGCGGCATTTACGCCTTTAAGTGTTTGGAAATGTTCCTCGAGGTGTTCGGAAGGGTACGCGGAAGGCCTACGCTACTTCCACCCTTCCGAGCTCGCTGAATTAATTGCGAGGTCTTTGGAAGGACATGACACATGAAGTGTCATTTCGCTCGTTCAAAAAAAAACAACCACATTGTGCACCATTTGTTTACATCTTTGTGAGCGTTTAGTTGATCCTCCCCGCATTCACAATAAACAATAAAGTTCC